TTTTGGAGTATTTCGAAATATTTTCAAGCTCAAAAAAATTTAAAAATTCACAAAAGCTGTAGGCTATGTTCATTTTTGAAAAACTAAGTTTGACTTTTGCTAGATAAATTATTTTGTTACTGTTGATTTCGTTTAAAATCGTCGCAAAAAACGTTCTTTGATATTTCGAAATTAAATATGCTACACATTTTGAACACTCATGTTGCAATTTGAAAATAGAATATGACTTTTTAAAGTGATCACAAAAATTTATGAGAAAAAAGCTTTCAGACTTTTTTTTCTTGAAGATTTAAATCTATTTCTAGCAATAGCAGTGGTAATAAAATATATTTCTGATTTCAATAATTTTTTATTTGTCACATATAATTAATTATTCGATTTATAATTACTCGAATGTAGTTATAATGAAAATCATTTCAAATATTTTCTTTTACTTAACGTTAAAATCTTGATTTTATTATTAAAGTATCATATATTTGTTTCAGAGTATGTTCCAAGGCTTATTACTTCAATGTTACCTTCTAATAGCTTTAATTATAACTTCAGTTTATCAGTAATGCGATAATTCTTTCAGAAAAAAAAAAAAACGTTATGTTCAATGTGTGAAAATTTTACAAACTTATCTTCAAATTTTCATATTTAATTCAAAACTATATCTTTCATTTAAGAAAGGTAGTAATGCGATAATTCTTGCTGAAATTTTTATAAATGACAGAAATGAATTGAAAGTGATTGAAAAATTTTTTAAAGCAATCTTTTCTTCATAACGATTAATGCTTTGCTATTAATTTTTATTCTGAAAAACTTATTGAACTGCATTAATTGCTTCGAATAAAATACCCAAATTTGGGCTCAACAATCATTTTTTGAATGAATTGAGAAAGGGTGCAGAGAGAGAGAGAGAGAGAGAGAGAGAGAGAGAGAGANNGAGAGAGAGAGAGAGAGAGAGAGAGAGAGAGAGAGAAATTACGCTGCAATTTGATCAAATGATTTCTTTTTAAATAATACCGAGAATTATCATAAAAAATGAAAAAAAAAATCGATTTTTAGAAATCGACAGATAATTTTGTAATCTAAAAGTTCAAATTTCGGACAACCATTTTTTTAAGAAAACGTCATAGATCATCATAAACAATTTTGCTGAGAAAAAAAAAATACTGAAAAAGAAGATATCAATCTTGAAGATAATAGTTTTCCTGCGGGAAATAATAATTAAAATTGTATTAAAATAGTTCGCTAAGAATTAATACAATTAAAAGTCTATCAGAATAATTAAAATGTAACAGAAAATTATTTTGATAGTTCGTTTCCAAAAAATATGATACGGTAAATATTCTATTCCACAACATATTTTACAACATGAGTGTTTCTTTTCAAGAATATTCTTTCATAAATTTATTATGAAACTTATTGAATCGCTCCAGCATATCACGTAATATATTTCCTTGTGGCAGTATTGTTGTCCTGAAATTAATATAAATAAATAATCAGAAATAACAACTGTTTGATATGAATATCAAATCAAAAGAACATGAAAAGATCACTCATCCTTTTCGAAATATCATATGTGATCAGTGGAAATAATTAGGAATGAATTTACAAAATTAACAATATGAAAACATAAGAAAATATTCAGCAACAACGATAAATTATTTCATTCAAATCAACACAAATGTAATCTTTGAACTCTTTGTAGCAGCTATGCATCCGCTTTATACATGCTACTATGTTGTTACATTAATTTAAGCCTGACGTAAAAAAAAAAAAGATTAAATGAATAAGTGAATAAATTAACCGGAAATGATATGTTCCAGGTTTTTGCCCAAAACCACTTCCCGGTACTACACAAATGCCGCTATTTTCAAGTAGCTGCATTGCATAAAAGAAATCAGCTTCCAGATTGAATGACTGCAAAAAATTTTTAAATAAAGAAAAAACAAATCAGAATTAAAATTTACATATTATTTTAAACATTATATTAGCAGTTTTGAAAAATAAAAATTATTAATTTTTACTACGAACAAAAAAAAAAAAAAAAAGAATGCAATTCTCCTTCCATTTACTACTAATGACTTTTCATCTATGTAACACATTTATGTCATTTCACTATGTCATTTATTGTAAGTTAAATTATCATAATTAAATTTTATCTGAAATTCATCCAACATAGTAATGAATAAAGAAGAACCGATGAAAAAAATTATTCCAAGAAAACTTTTAAGATATCAAATTTTAAGAGAAATAATACAATTTTCACTTCTAACCTACCTTAGCTTTATCAATTGCTTTTTGAGGCATTTCGATACGTGGAAATGCATACATTGCTCCTTGCACCGGATTACATTTGATACCATCAATGGAATTATAAGCTTCATAAACTGCTTTTGCACGATCCTTCAATGAATTCAGCACTGCTGTCTTCTCCTATAATAAATTCATTTTATGAATTAAATTAAGATCAAATCGTCATTCAATCTCAATTTAAAACCTTTCGGCACTTTTTTTAAAAAGGAATAAATTTTTATCTATTAATTAGAATCAAGGAAGAACTATGAACATACATAAATATGTATCTGAAATGTATAATAGAAACAAAAAAAAACTAAACATTTCATAAATTTTTTTAATTGATTGAAAAAAAAAAATGTTACCTTTAACCATTGTTCATATGAAGGTTCACCAGGTTGTGGCGGTTTTACCACACAATCAATTGCACACTGCAAATAAAAAGATAATTAATGAGATTTTTTTTTAACTAACTAAAATTACACAAGAAATTAAAAATAGAATAAAATAACCATAATGGTAACATTATCTGTTAATATATGTTAAATTAATGAGATTTTTTTAAATCATATAAGAAGTTAAAAATGGAACAAAATAACCATAATGCTAACATTATCTGTTAATATATGTTAA